AGGCAACACCAACAAAGCAAGTCATATTGTCTGGCCAGAATCGCCCCATCAGGACCCATTACTCAATATTCAATGAATTACATAGTACAAACACACACACACACACACACAAATATGTATGAACATAAATTCATTTTTCACAATCGTAATGATTTTGGTTTTCCCTCTGTATTTTGCGTAAAAAGTACGTTAATATACCATAACAAGAAACAATCAAGAAGTAATTTAATGTTACATTTACACGAGAAAAAATTAACCGTAATGAATATATTTTATTGTATTATTCTTTCATAACATTTCAGAAGTAAAATCCTGAAAGCCTTTCTAAATTGTAAAATGTTTTAACGTGTTATATTGGAGTCTGAGATACTTAGAGATTTAAAAGCTGCTATTTTTTTCTAACTTATTAGTATGCTGGTAGCTGTTAATACAACTCTCAATGGAAACTAACACGAATGTTTATTCGTGACACACAAGAGAAAAGTCCCACGCATGTTGAAATTCTTTAAAATAAAATAACAGTACCAAGGATATTGTTACTTCTTGTTTTCAAATTATTTTACCGTAATAACTGATGTTCACAATTAGTTACTAGACTACCTTCGAGCGACTTTTATCTACCTAGATGTCTTACAGATAACATTTAATTGTTAAATTTATAAATACGTTTCGGTGATTCTAATTAACAAATATTTGTGATTTCCAAACTATACGAAGCTAAATACAACTGTCCATCTGTGATCTAAGGTATATATATATATTTTACAATTTTATTATGAACGATTTTGTTTGTGTTGAATTTCGCGCAAAGCTACACGAGGGTTAACTATGTTAACCGTCCCTAATTTAACAGTGTAAGACAATAAGGAAAGTAGTTAGTCATCACCACCAGTTTATCAACTTTTGACCTACTCTTTTTACCAACGAACAATTGACGCCCCCACGTCTGAAAGGGCAAGTATGTTTGGTGGGATTGGGATTCGAACCTGTGACCCTCAGAATGCTAGTCGAGCGCCCTAACCACCTGGTCATGCCGGGCCAGAACGATATTGACTGGATATAAGTTTGTAACAGTAGCTGAAATGCTGGCTGAAATTAAAAGTATTATTATTAGCTGGAGAGAAAAGTTAGTTTTTCTGACTTTATTGTTAAAGTGTCTAAATCCTTCCATTATGCACTACAACTACCGAAAAAGAACAAGATATACAACCATCTGTAAAATTTTAGATTTAACATAATACCTCAGTTTTGGCATAATGCCAGTAGTTTTAACAATTTAGCACAAATAATATTTGTATGTTGTTTCCAATTTAATTATCAGTAATGACTTCAAAATATGTAATGGATCTAGTGCGTCCAATAACAAAATTATACAACTTTTATCTTAAACTGACCTGTAATTATTTTTTATTTGGTTTTATTGAAATTACTTGAAACTTTATTTGCTAATATCCATTGGTTAACATTAAGCATTTCCCTCTTAACTGTTAGTTGTAAATCCATTAAGCTGTTACTGATCACGCATAAGTTAATATCAATGTTAGATGATTTGAATTTCGCGCAAAGTTATACTAGGACTATCTGCGCTAGCCGTCTCTAATTTAGCACTGAAAGAATAGTGGGATTAACCGTCACATTATAACGCCTCCACGGCTGAAAAGACAAGCATATTTAGTGGGACGGGGATTTGAACCCGCGACCCTCAGATTGCGAGTCGAGCTCCCTAACCAACTGGCCATGCCAGACCATCTTAGGTGAACTAGCATTTACTAAATTATTTATATAAATGATAAATAAACGTGAGACTAAATTATATATTTGTAGAACTGCACAATTTATATTTAAACTATCAGATTAAAAATTATTAAATTAGGAATATTGTTTTTCGTTAGTTGGATAACTTTTAAAAATTTCCAAAGATACACCTTGTATACAATAAAGATACAATATACCCAGTAATATGTCATGTTGAAGCCTTTGATAGGTTTGAAAAGATACCACAAATCATTTTACCAAAATTCAAAAGATTCTAATAACTTACCATATATCTCTGTCACTGCAAGAACGAGTAATGCTGGTTACGATATAGACTTATAAGAGAATTAATTGGCAAAAAAGATGCCAATCTAGTATTAATTAACTTCTCAAAGATCTTTGAAAAAAAAAAGATACTTTAGAGATAGGTCTGTAACCAGACATAGCGTGTGGACAATCTGATTTAGATAAAGGAATTACTTTGACTATATTCAAAACACCAAGGTAATGAATATTCTATTACTAAGCAATTGCTATATAAATCATATGTTTGTTTGTTTGTTTGAAGTTATGAAGAAAGCTACACAATGTGCTACCTGTGCTCTGCCCACCACGGGTATCGAAAACCGATTTCTATCATTGTAAGTCCGCAGACATACCGCTGTGCCACTGGGGGGGGGGCAAAATCATATGTACTAGAAGCTAAAACATGATCTGAAGCCTTATGAATATTTAATGCATTCATTAAATTAAACACTTTGCGAGTAGTAACAGGATTTAAGAAAACTGAATTAACATTATCATTGTTTGTTTTTGAAGTTAAGCACATAGCTACACAATGGGCTATCTGTGCTCTGCCCACCACGGGTATCGAAACCCGGATTCTAGCGTTGTAAGTCTGCAGACATACCGCTGTGCTATTGAGGGGGCAACATTGACATTATAAAGAAAAAAACTCTTTCAAATACAATGGTTGAGTTTTCTAGTGATAATGTCACATTGATTCCTATGTTATAAAAGTAAGCATTAACAATTTTACAAAGTCCAACTGGATCAGAAAGGGTTAACTTTGTATTATTTAAATAAACTTTATCTGAGCATATATATATATATATATAAATCCTTTTTAATTATTAATAGCCTGCCAAGTTTTCTCGTATTATCTTTATTATTTATTAAATACTTATTATAGTATATTACTATAGGGATTTCTTTAATTATAATACATAGTTTTAAAGATTCCTTCTATGTGATTCAGATTATTTGAGTAATTTTCGTAAATCAGTTTTTATTTCACTTCTGTGTAATTAGTATGTTTAACACATTTTATGCCTGGTTTAAATAGAGTTTAATTTAACTGGAGGTATCCATTAGCTTATTTTAAGACCACTTTCTTTAAGAGGTACTGCTTATCTATTACAGAAATACAAATAAAATGTTATTTAAAGGCTTCGTCTTTTATATTGTATGTGTGACGTAAAAGTACGGTAAAATCTTACGTCTGGCCACATATTATGTATTTCCACTTTCTAAAATTCTAAGAGCTTCCAGGAACCTAGTCCCCCCACCCAAACCTCATAAGTTACCTCTCAATTGGCGTTATTGACCGACAGCTAAAAGTGGAGAGCGTGTTAAGCGGCGCCACAGGTCGAACTTTGGATTCTTCCATTCGAGACAAGGCAGTCACTTGGCCACTCTTGCCTCAAACGATAATGAAGCCGTATGCCAGATCTTTTCACCATAATGATTAATTTGAACGTATGAGCACCATCATGAACTGTCGCTTTTTACACATTGAACTACAATGACAGTGAAAACAATCTCTAAAACAAATTATCCACTTTTAAACATATTTTCACACTAAATAGGAGGCAAGGATGAATAAATAACATTAAAAATAGAGAAAATGCAAACTGTTATTATTTTGGATTTTAATGTACTTTTGTCACACACACACACACTTAACTCAGAATAGATTTGTTTTCACTATTTCAGTTGAATTTGATTGTAACACTGAATATTTTATTTCAGTTTATTAACGTGAGGATGTCGTTCTTCTACAGCATATCAGGACTGATAATCAACGTAAAATATTTAGTTTCAGGGAATACAAATTCAGGAGGCCCGGCAATCTGAGGGTCGCGGGTTCGAATCCCCGTCACACCAAACATGCTCGCCCTTTCAGCCGTGGGGGCGTTATAATGTGACGGTCAATCCCACTATTCGTTGGTAAAAGAGTAGCCCAAGAGTTGGCGGTTGGCGGTAATGACTAGCTGCCTTCCCTCTAGTCTTACATTGCTAAATTAGGGACGACTAGCGCGGATAGCCCTCGTGTAGCTTTGCGCGAAATTCAAAACAAACAAATTCAGGAAAATAGGATTTTAAAGAGTGCCTTAAGCACAATCTTCGAAAGCTATGCATTATTTTTAGAAACTCCAGGACATTTCATTGTGGAATATAGAGTTAAACAGAAGAAATGAGTAAAATAACATTGCTATGCATTGACTTAAGTTTGAACGTTCTCTTTCTTCCACATATATCTTCTTAGAAACACTAAATACAGAACTGTGCCATAAGACGTAATCACAGAGCACCAGCATTTACTTATCAAAGCCTAATCTGTCAGAAGAAGTAATAATAGTATGCCAATATTTGCATTTACAGCTTAATATTTGTTTTTCCTTCAAATACTTTTTATTTCATTACTCCCCCGTCCTCGCCGACAAAAATAAAAAAGGATTGTTTATTGTTAAGTGCAATGGACAATAAGTGCTCTGCCCCCCACGGGTATTGAAACCTGATTTTTAGCGTTATAAGCCCTCAGTTTTACAGTCGGACCACCGGAGTTCAGGGTGAGTAGGGTAAAATCAATACAGATGTGGTATAGATACTCTTTTGTATTTAAGTACTTACGCTAATACTTTTTAGTTTATTAAAATGACATTTTTATTACAATAAGTAGAATTTATTGGAAATAATATAGAGGTCAAACACACTAGTCTATAGAATAACGTTTATGATGCCTTAGGCCATTTGTTAACTTGTTTCAAAATATAAATTATAATAAAAAACGTGTAGAATTTAAATAGAATACAAGAAGGAAGAGTTCGGATAAACGACTGCTTATTATTAGTTGTTTTTCCCTACTAAGTCCTTCATTCACTGTGGAAGACATATGAAGAAATCTTAACCTCATAGACTGCTTCATAAATAATATTTTTTTAAATGTCATTACACATTTTCAGGTGCCGATGTAAGCCTGAAAAGAACGTTAAAAGAAGTGGAACACTTAGAGGAAGATATCTCTGTGTTGGGACAGATAAACGATTTAGTTTCGACATTAAGTTGTCAGCATGAGGTAATGTTCGTAAATCGTCTTTCTTACAATATATTAGACCTAATTTCCGTCGTAAATCTTCTTACATACAGCTGTGTATAAAAGAAGCAATATATTTATGTTTTGAACTACCATTTTGTTAAATGATGTGTCATAAATTATGTATATTATTGATCAGATCAGAGTTCCAAGAATCCATCCATTACGAACATGTATAGGGAATTCTGTGTGTCACCTGAAACATGTTATTAGTTGGTGTGTAAACATGTTTTTATGCTGAACTGGATAACATTTTAGTACTTATTAGAAGAAGTTAATTACTGCCAAGAAACACCCAGTTATTCCTTCACCAAGTCGAGAGAATCTTTTTACAACACATTATAAAAACAACAACAAAACTGTCTTAACAGGTCGCGTTAGTGTTAATGTGTTTTTTTTTCTTATTAGTCTTTAGTTGCTGCAACTAACTTTGAAAAATTAATAAGCGAAAGCGTTTCCAAACTCCACGAACTCCAAAATTACTCAAGTCCGATAACGTTTTTATTTTGTAAAAAAATAAAAGACCGTGTGAGTTTGAGAAACATTCTATTTGGTTATCCAAAACATTTTATTAATTTAAGTCCTCATGTTGTATTGTAATATTTATTACAGACGCTTGATGAAGCACTCGAAGACTTGTTGAACACTGTTAACAAACAGTTGGCTGAAAAACAAAGTGGAGACTCGCATTTACTGAGCATTGAACTAGCAGTTACAGTACAGTGAGTATTGTTATTAGCTGTTACGCTACAGTGAGTATTGTTATTAGCTGTTACAGTACAGTGAGTATCGTTATTAGCTGTGACAGTACAGTGAGTATTGTTATTAGCTGTTACAGTACAGTGAGTATTGTTATTAGCTGTTACAGTACAGTGAGTATCGTTATTAGCTGTTACAGTACAGTGAGTATTGTTATTAGCAGTTGCAGTACAGTGAGTATTGTTATTAGCTGTTATAGTACAGTAGTATTGTTATTAGCTGTTACAGTACAGTGAGTATCGTTATTAGCTGTTACGCTACAGTGAGTATCGTTATTATCTGTTACAGTACAGTGAGTATCGTTATTAGCTGTTACGCTACAGTGAGTACCGTTATTATCTGTTACAGTACAGTGAGTATCGTTATTAGCTGTTACGCTACAGTGAGTATCGTTATTAGCTGTTACGCTACAGTGAGTATCGTTATTAGCTGTTACGCTACAGTGAGTATTGTTATTAGCAGTTGCAGTACAGTGATTATTGTTATTAGCTGTTATAGTACAGTAGTATTGTTATTAGCTGTTACACTACAGTAAGTATTGTTATTAGCTGTTACAGTACAGTGAGTATCGTTATTAGCTGTTATAGTACAGTAGTATTGTTATTAGCTGTTACA